GGTGTTTTTTTTCTAAGTCATGGGGGTAGACCTAGTTATCATCCATGTTAGCCTCTGGTAAACTAACATAGCTATGGTATAGATGGCCCATAGAAATAGTGGATTTGCCCATTAAAGATGGTGATGTTCCATAGTTTTTGCTATGTTTTTGGTATGTTTACCAGAGGCTAATCAGATTTTCCATGAAACATCAGACCATGTGGATGACACCATCGCCTCACGACCGAGCTGTGCAGCTGCACAGGCCGGCTGAGCTTGGTCGCGTTGATGATGTTCTGCAGGGCTTCCAAAAAACCGCCCCAATGGGTGTGCCCCGGTGTCAAACGCTGGGAAATCCCACAAAATCGATGCAGCTTTGCTTGGAAAATCATCTATAATTTGGCAGATGCTCCTTTGCTACGGTTGATTACTAGATTACTTACTAGAGGGTCATCATAATAAATCGATGTCATGTCCTGATGATACCCTAGAATCTTATCAAAAAAAAATGGTCAGCAAACTTCGCACCGGCGCCTGGAGGAATATGGTGCGGCTTCCACAATCGTCGCAGCACTGAGTGGAAAAAATGGATGCCATGGCCAGGTCCCGCCTGAAACACCGCTTTGGTGTCCGCATCACACTTGTGGATGGCAGCCAAGGCGTCCAGCGGGAAAGCGGCTGCATCCTGGATGGACTGCAAACAGCTAGAAAAAATGTGGGAGATCAGATGCCAAACCATTGACTATTACGATTACTTGTGAATTGGTGGATACTAGCCATTTACTAACCATAGAGAGAAAGAGAGAGTGGGATATTACATGATGTTGCCTCGATACACTTACTTGCCATATACTTGCCTCAGTCATCCTTTGAGGTAGGACTGGTGAGGACAAAATAATTGGATGGTTCGCTGTGTTGCGCCGAATAAACCAGAATCTATCAAAAAGAGAAAGGATATTTTTCTGAAGTCCTTTGCAAACTCCTCAAGAGCCAATCACATATCATATCCTTCTTCAACATGATTCTTTTTGCTGTGTCCCAAACAGAAGGAACTTCCGAAAGTCAGACGCAACAATAATGCCCAGAAAGGTCATTGAGATATCAAACCAGGAGAAGTAGATCGCGGAGTCAAAACATGCGGGGCACCACTTTGCACACTTGGAATCATCCTTATTGGAATCATCATCAGATATGTGCGCAAGATGGTCACAAAGAAAATGTCCCCTATAAATTTCCCAAATAATGGATTTACCCATGGAAAAACAAAAATCACCTTCAGCAAATCTAAGGAACTAATGTGGTAAACCCAATGCCATAAACCATCCCCAATAATACTATACATGGGTGGGATTTTCAACCATCCCCAAATGGTAGGTTTATGGCATTGGGTTTTCCACATCATATCATATATCTCATCGGCCTCATCGGCCCATCATATCATGATTTTACCAGCTATAAACCTCCATTTATAGGGGGGAAATTCCCATTAGAAATCCTCTGAAGAGCATTACTGTGGACCCCACCACCCAGGCCCAGGGGACCCAGGAGACCCAGGGGACCGAAAAGACCCAGGAGCTTCCTCTGTGCCAAAGGCAGCTTCCATGGTGGAACAAGCCTCGAATCAGAGAGGTTTCTGGGAGCAGAAATTGAATCTTGTTTAGAAGGTTGGCTGAAAATGAGTATGTTTTGCAATTAAGATGGATATTGATATACTCTATCTATATTATATATATATACATAATTCTATTTATGTATATGTATGATATAACATGAAAAGGAGCATATATAATCCCAAGAACGGGTGACTTGGTTTGGCCGCCTAACAATCCCAACCACTTTCTGCGAGCCTCCGTGTGCATCTTGGTGACGGTTGAGGCGACCTCAGGATCGGTTTGACACACGGAGTGTGATTTTCATAGCCGCTTTTCACAAACTAAGTGACATAAGTGGGGTACCATTTTGAAATTTTAAGCGGGTTACTATAATTGGATATAATTGGGAGAACCATGTTCGCCAAGTACCGCTTTGACCTTAGCACTTTAAGTCAAAGTGTTTAATTGTGGGGTACCATCTTCATAGCTGTCACGTTTTGAGGGCGATTGACCCCGACTTTATCGAAAGGGCGGATTAAAATTGCAGTTCAAAACCTTCATTCAAATCAAACTCGACACCGCCTAACTAGGCCCACCATGGCCCGCCCGCTTTTCTTGCACTGCTGAAATGGACCGCTTCTATCAAGAGAACTAGCGACCCAACAAGCGTCCAGCGCAGCAACTCTCAGCAACAACCGTTGCAAAGTCACCAAGAAACACATGTTCAAAGCATTTCAAAGCCAAGCTTTGGAATGGGACCCTGCCGCATGACAAATAGATACAGATTGCACGTGTGGGAGCGCCGTAACACCAAGTCTCAAATCCAACTCGAGAACGGCTGACTTGGCCCGCCCGCTTTTCTTGCACTGCTGAAATGGACCGCTTCTAGCAAAAGAACTAGCGACCCAACAAGCGTCCAGTGCAGCAACTCTCAGCAACAACCGTTGCAAAGTCACCAAGAAACACATGTTCAAAGCATTTCAAAGCCAAGCTTTGGAATGGGACCCTGCCGCATGACAAATTGATACAGATTGCACGTGTGGGAGCGCCGTAACACCAAGTCTCAAATCCAACTCGAGAACGGCTGACTTGGCCCGCCCGCTTTTCTTGCACTGCTGAAATGGACCGCTTCTACCAAGAGAACTAGCGACCCAACAAGCGTCCAGTGCAGCAACTCTCAGCAACAACCGTTGCAAAGTCACAAAGAAACACATGTTCAAAGCATTTCAAAGCCAAGCTTTGGAATGGGACCCTGCCGCATGACAAATAGATACAGATTGCACGTGTGGGAGCGCCGTAACACCAAGTCTCAAATCCAACTCGAGAACGGCTGACTTGGCCCGCCCGCTTTTCTTGCACTGCTGAAATGGACCGCTTCTACCAAGAGAACTAGCGACCCAACAAGCGTCCAGTGCAGCAACTCTCAGCAACAACCGTTGCAAAGTCACAAAGAAACACATGTTCAAAGCATTTCAAAGCCAAGCTTTGGAATGGGACCCTGCCGCATGACAAATTGATACAGGCACGTGTGGGAGCGCCGTAACACCAAGTCTCAAATCCAACTCGAGAACGGCTGACTTGGCCCGCCCGCTTTTCTTGCACTGCTGAAATGGACCGCTTCTACAAGAGAACTAGCGACCCAACAAGCGTCCAGTGCAGCAACTCTCAGCAACAACCGTTGCAAAGTCACCAAGAAACACATGTTCAAAGCATTTCAAAGCCAAGCTTTGGAATGGGACCCTGCCGCATGACAAATTGATACAGATTGCACGTGTGGGAGCGCCGTAACACCAAGTCTCAAATCCAACTCGAGAACGGCTGACTTGGCCCGCCCGCTTTTCTTGCACTGCTGAAATGGACCGCTTCTAGCAAGAGAACTAGCGACCCAACAAGCGTCCAGTGCAGCAACTCTCAGCAACAACCGTTGCAAAGTCACCAAGAAACACATGTTCAAAGCATTTCAAAGCCAAGCTTTGGAATGGGACCCTGCCGCATGACAAATTGATACAGGTTGCACGTGTGGGAGCGCCGTAACACCAAGTCTCAAATCCAACTCGAGAACGGCTGACTTGGCCCGCCCGCTTTTCTTGCACTGCTGAAATGGACCGCTTCTACCAAGAGAACTAGCGACCCAACAAGCGTCCAGTGCAGCAACTCTCAGCAACAACCGTTGCAAAGTCACAAAGAAACACATGTTCAAAGCATTTCAAAGCCAAGCTTTGGAATGGGACCCTGCCGCATGACAAATTGATACAGGTTGCACGTGTGGGAGCGCCGTAACACCAAGTCTCAAATCCAACTCGAGAACGGCTGACTTGGCCCGCCCGCTTTTCTTGCACTGCTGAAATGGACCGCTTCTACCAAGAGAGAACCAGCGACCCAACAAGCGTCCAGTGCAGCAACTCTCAGCAACAACCATTGCAAAGTCACAAAGAAACACATGTTCAAAGCATTTCAAAGCCAAGCTTTGGAAAGGGACCCTGCCGCATGACAAATTGATACAGGTTGCACATGTGGGAGCGCCGTAACACCAAGTCTCAAATCCAACTCGAGAACGGCTGACTTGGCCCGCCCGCTTTTCTTGCACTGCTGAAATGGACCGCTTCTACCAAGAGAACTAGCGACCCAACAAGCGTCCAGTGCAGCAACTCTCAGCAACAACCGTTGCAAAGTCACAAAGAAACACATGTTCAAAGCATTTCAAAGCCAAGCTTTGGAATGGGACCCTGCCGCATGACAAATTGATACAGGTTGCGCCTTGCGCGTGTGGGAGCGCCGTAACACCAAGTCTCAAATCCAACTCGAGAACGGCTGACTTGGCCCGCCCGCTTTTCTTGCACTGCTGAAATGGACCGCTTCTACCAAGAGAACTAGCGACCCAACAAGCGTCCAGTGCAGCAACTCTCAGCAACAACCGTTGCAAAGTCACCAAGAAACACATGTTCAAAGCATTTCAAAGCCCAGCTTTGGAATGGGACCCTGCCGCATGACAAATAGATACAGATTGCACGTGTGGGAGCGCCGTAACACCAAGTCTCAAATCCAACTCGAGAACGGCTGACTTGGCCCGCCCGCTTTTCTTGCACTGCTGAAATGGACCGCTTCTACCACGAGAACTAGCGACCCAACAAGCGTCCAGTGCAGCAACTCTCAGCAACAACCGTTGTAAAGTCAAAACAAAAATCTTGCCGAATTAAAACGACTCTGGGCGGTTATATTGTAGCTGCAGGCACAGACAATCCGATGTGCAAGGTTGTCGTTGATTCAGTTATTGTGCCATATCATGGCACTTAATCCCGACCCTCATGGAGATTTTCTGACATCACCTGGCAGCCACTGAGTGCCAATTCACTGAGTGCCTTGCTTTCTCTCGAAGGCTTGGCGGCGCATACTGCACAGCAACCAGAACGTGATCGTGGTGTCATGTGGTGTCTATATTCTTCTGTAAAAGGATAGTTTGAAAAAATATCTTCCAATTCATCCAATTCATCCAATTGAAAATGTGGAGTTTCAAGCTGACGCACATGTTCTCCGAGAACGGTTTCCTCAAGGTTTCGGGGCGCCTGGGCTTCCTCCGGTCGCATTTCCTTTCTTCCCAACTGGATCATGGCCCAGAAGGGAACCTGCGCCACATGAAAGATTGGCCCATTGATCAGCCTTTGGGTGCTACAATGGCCCGTTCATGACTATGTCAATTGGCAGCTGGCCATGTGGATCTTGCTGGTTTATATCCCCACCCATTTCTTGGGGGTGGAATCCATTGGCAAATACTGCACCAGCCGCCTCCACCGTTTGCAAGGACCGCTCAGCGATGTAGAGACGAAACATGTCCTGCTTGATACATCACTCAGGAGAGATTAGAGTGGGCAGTGGATGGGCCGTCTTCCGTACCAGTGATTCCTCATACTAGGGTGTCCAAGTTATTACATTTCACCTCAGTGTATTTACAAATGAGCATAGGCGGATAGAGACTTCTTCATTGGGTTGTCTTGAAAATGTGAATCTCAAAATGCCATATGTTTTATCATCACTTTCCGCATTTTGGGGTATCCAATGTACCCACCGGAGACAACCGACCCCACATCCCATGACCATGACATGGTGCCCCAGGAGACGCCCCCACACTGAAACAAGCCCTTGCTGGGAGAGTCTGCAAACTCCATTGAAGCTCACTGAATTGCAGTCGTGATCCAATAATTCAATAGCTGTTTCAGCTTGCAAGTAGTGCTTTATCTTGAACCCCCTAAGTTCAACATGGAAACTAAAAAAAATTGCCATATCCACAAGGAAAATCCTCTTCCAGACCCCATACTTTGTGGTTTCCATATGTTTCCATGGTGAAATTGGTGGTTTCCGTAGCCAAGCCACAAAGCCGGATGCCACAGCCCGGCATTTTCCCAATCCCAATGCCTCCACGTCTTTGCGCCGCGGGTCTGTCATGAAACGCAAGGCTCGCCTCGTTGTGGCTTCAACGGTTAAACCATTGAGTACCCCAAAAATGGGATGGCTAATTATGGCTTCCAAGTGAATTTTCACCACAGATGTTAGAAATTGTTACAAGCCTCACTTTTGGACCAGGGTCGCATCTTCAGGCACTCTGCAGGGAGCTTTGTGTTTCATCCTGATGCATCCTACTGTAGTTCAAACTACCATGGCGGGCCTCACATCTTTATCTCGCCATCCGACTTTGTCCAAAAAATTGGGGATGCCCTAGAGTGCTCTGTCTAAACATGGCAAGTGTCATATGTCGAATACTTGAATATGAAAAATTATAGAACATCTCCAGCTCCGCAGGGGTTTCCCTGGGCTTCCCCGACCATGCTGAGCTGTGCAACGGCCGGCCACCCCACGCGGCCAAGAGCCGACGTATAAGGCGAACGTTGCAACTGCAGCAGGGGAACTGGGACCCACCGGAAAGCGGAAGACCGGGAAGACCACGACCACCACAAGCTCAGCTTTTGCTCTGATAACGAGGGTTGTCAGGAGCAAACAACTCCACTTCCTTACTTTCTGCGCAGTGTGTGCACTCTTCAAGGGTTGCCTTTGCGCTAGTTGTCAACCGAATGACAACATGCAAAAACACAGCAGGATCTGCGAAACAACCAGCAACCCTGACAGGACTTGAAAGTTCTTAAATATGCGCAGTGTCAGTGGCACAACCTGTGTTTTTTAGCACCCAAAAAGCCACCAAATTGGCCTCCACATTGCGATCTTGAGGAGCCGTTGCTGTTTAAACCTGATCTGTGGCAAAGTCATCATGGCGGTTTCCTAGATATGCTGCACAAAGTGAATCTTTAGCTGGGCAGTGTGTGTATATAGGTGTATGTATATATATATATACACAGTATGTATATATATATAGTTACATAAATATACACACCATTGTTGCTGTCAGGAATTTAAGCAACTTCACTACACGGCCCAAACAAGACTTACTAGCACTGAGCATCAACACCGATTGAACATCACCAACAATGACATACCAAAACCCATCAATGGGAGGATAACAAGATACAACATGAGAAGAGAACCAACAAAAGCAGGAATATTGCCAGCCACAACAGAGACATACTGTGGATGGAAGAAATCCTGCACCACCTTGGATGGTTAAAACCCTATGAATAATGGGATAAACCACCTATATACTGGTGCAGGATTTCTTCCATCCACCGTATCTTTGCTTTTTGTTGTTGTCTTCGTACCTCTTCTTACGTCAAAGTCGAACCTTGAATCAACCTGAGCTTCCCACAGGCTTTGAACCTCTGACCAGCTGGCTGAACCACCTGACATCTTCGGTCAATGCTGTGCCACATGTCAATTTGCATTGTTTTCCGCACCCCAAAAATCTTCCTCAAAATATTTCCCGTGACCCCACCTGGAATCTTGGCAGGAGTCATGATCCAGTCGACCATCTCATCAGTGACATCATCTGCCAGCAGATGCAGCATTTATCATGGGGATGTCATGGGAATTTAATGGCGATATATTGGGGGGTTCTTAAGTCATGGTGGATCCCCAAGTCACCATAGGTTTCAATACTTCGTCATGGTTTAATAACTGGGATGATTTGCGGGTACCCCCATGACTTAGGAAACCTCCGTCAGTGTGATATTTAAGTACATGCAGCCTATCTACATTATATGATTCATGGCTATCTTGTTTTGGGCATCCATGGGCCAGGCACCAATAAAAATGGGACTGTATAAGCCAACAAAATTCGAACCATTTTATTGTTTTGGGGGAGGTGAGAAAGGATATCTGATATCCACATAAAATTGTGGATATATATATATATATATATACATTAGATGTGAGGTGTAAAGCATAGATGTTAGACACACTCGTTCACACCAGGTTCACGCTCGCATATCCTTTTTTTTCCTATTTCCTGTCGCTTCGTATGGTCTCAACCTGCCTCCAGCAGGATTAATGCTTTGGGTAGCTGTGTAGGTATCCTCCTACACAGCAGCACTGGTTAGATCCATACTCCCTGTTCCGCACTCCTGTCAACCCAGGAGGCTACACAGGGTGAATCCTTCCCACCTAGTGCTCAGTCGTGCAACGGCACGTAGAGATCAACATCCGCAATGATGTGATCCCCTACAAGAGAGGATACTCCACAGGAGTCCTATCTCATAGGGAGGGAAGGGAGGGAAAAGAAGAATGATGAAGCCAGTTTGGCTCAGACTTGAGCCAAAATGGATTCATCAACTTACACACTCACCCTAATGATAATGCACACCCAGTGCCTGCCAAACACGATGCATACATACATTAGATGTGAGGTGTAAAGCATAGATGTTAAACACACTCGTTCACACCAGGTTCACGCTCGCATATCCTTTTTTTTCCTATTTCCTGTCGCTTCGTATGGTCTCAACCTGCCTCCAGCAGGATTAATGCTTTGGGTAGCTGTGTAGGTATCCTCCTACACAGCAGCACTGGTTAGATCCATACTCCCTGTTCCGCACTCCTGTCAACCCAGGAGGCTACACAGGGTGAATCCTTCCCAATGCACTTCATTCCTCCCAAAGCACTTAGAGAAATTCCACGACCTGAAGAAACGCAGGAAGTGGCAGAGACCACAGCTCGAAGGGGAAAACTGCGAAATGCGTGGTGAACCCATGGCGCTTGTGCCATGTAGCCTGGAGGCCCACACGACTGATCTCGTCGGACCAGTTGGCCTTGCTAGGGATCCACTCCCAAAAGAACCAGGCTTGGAGTGCAAAGAGAGTGATATGAATCAGACGAGTCATATGTTCTAAATCTGCATTATCTGAACGTCCTCGAATCAGAGCCATCAGCGCCGCTGTATTGTCAATGAACCAAAGTCCTCTACGGCCACGAAACGTCGATGGACGGGTGAAGAGCGCATAGAGGACCTGCAACAACTCCAGTTGGGCAATCTTGGTGTCTCCTGGCTCCCAGAGGTTGTACACCACTGGGGGGATGATCGAAACAAAGGCCTCCCGCCGCTGGATGCAGCCATCATGCCAGACGACCAAGAAGCCGCCTGTCCCTTGGCCTGGGATTTCCAAGGCTGCGTCTGAGGCCGCCAGAAAACGTGGCCCCGCATGTGGCCAAATCTCGATTGTCCTGGAGGGTTTGGTAGCAATGACAGCGCGCAACAAGTCAAAGCATCGACGCAGCTCCTCAGTTAACTCTGAGGTACGCTCCTGTTGTCGGCGCTTGATTGGGGCTAAACCTCCGCAACCAATACGCCCCCATACTCCCAATTCGAAGAAGTTGGCCACGCCATAGATCTTGGCTGCAACTCCTGGTTGAAGCCGGCTGGAATCCTCAGCGTGCTTCATGAGATGAAGGAGCTTCTGTTCGATGCGTTCACGGGCCCAAAACTGGATGGTGCCTTGGGTGTGAATCTGACTGAAGTCATGATCGAGCCCCAAGAAAGTGCCTGATTGCTGCATCCTCTGGCACTTCTCTGCTGAGAAGGGTGTGCCCAAAAGATTGTTGAGAAACTGCATTGCTCGTTGACCGGATCCTTTGCAAGACTTCCTATCAGTCACATGAGCATCATCAAAATACAAGCCGGTCAAACAGAAAGTGAATCGACGCGCCAATGCTTCCACCAGCCTACTGTAGCGATTGAAAGACGTGACTGCCAAGGGGAGACCAAAAAGCAAACCAGTGTAAATCATAAAGGCAGGCTTCTGCCATTCATGGTGGAAAAATGCCACAATACAACATAAAGCCTCGTCCTTGCTCATGGGGCAAAATCTGTAAGCATCTGGCCAGTCCTCACCGCCCGATTCCCATTCTTCTGTGTCCCAGATGGGAAGGGCTCCATATGCGCAGGCATATTGTAGATGCTGAGCTGGCCGAAGGGCTGAACAAAGGGTGAGCTTGTTGGCGTCGCTGGAACGCTCAGACTGTAGGCCTACATAGGCGTCGTCAATCACCCGTTGCTTCCCCGAGGATTGTGTGATCACACATCGAGGAATCAAACGATAAGGCTCTGCACCCAGCAAACTATGCAGTTCCTCTGCATCCATCGGCAAGCTGCAGAAGCCTTTCTCAGCATCCTTGAGGCTCTGTTGTAACATGAATTCATCATCGTTGCCAGGCCTCAAACGAGTCAGGATCCACCGGTTGTGGGTCCTCCAATCACGAAGGACATCCTCCCGTGTCAAGCGGGATGCCTCCTGCTCTGGGAATATGCCATAGGGGGGTGCGTATCCCACTGCTGGGAGCCCCATGCAAAGGCCAGCCGGCAGCGTCACATCGCCCCAGTTGGCTAAAAGCAACAGGATGGCTGTGAAACCAATGTCTCTTTGTGCAGTGGCCGTCCGAATTGCCTCAGTCTGTTTGGTCCTCAAATGTTCCGTGACCTTGCTCCAGCGCCTCTTCATCTCGGCTAAAAGGCCCATAGCACGTTTTCTCAGCTTGCTCAGGTCGACTCCTGGCATGCTTGAGAAGGAAGCCGCAAAGCGAAGGTCATCATCCAACACCGGAAGCCCTTCTGTAGGCAAAGGTTGTACACTCAGTTGCAAAGCTTGCTCAAAATGCTGGTCCGGGTGAAGATGGAACGGCAAGAGGGGTGCCAGCGCAGCCCTGTGGTTGATGGCCCCCACCTGCTGGCCCTCAGCTGTCCGCATCTTCTGCCGCACGGAAGGAGCTGCCAAAACTGGGTTCCAGCTGCCTTCCATGTCAAGCCCCTGTTGGTGCCTCCAACGAGTATACAGGTCGAGCGGGTGCTGGTTCACCAAATCCTCGACGAATGGGATGGCAAGCCCTTCCAACCAGTCACCTGGGTAGAGCTTCTTGAACGCTAGCGCCAGTGACTCCTGCAGGATGTAGAAAGGCCCAAAAGGGGTGCCCGTCGCTTTGGCAATGCTCGACAGGAGGACACTGCGTGTCACTGCCGTGGGGCTCCTGCCATTCGATCCTTGGACAACTTGGGGAGCTACTGGATGGCGATGTAAGCTGAGCCGGTCAAACACAAGCCCTGCCAAGAGGTCAGCCTCGCAGGTCTGTGCTGCTGGGCAATCACACACCAAAACCTTGCCTTCCAGCTCGTCCAGCTCCTGCCATAACGTCTCTCTGACATACTGAACAAAGAGGGGAAGCCAATCTTGTGGTGTGCAATTCACCCCAACTTGCCAAGGGGATTTCCACTTCGTTGTCTGGAGCCGGTGAGCGTGGTTTCCCATACCCACATAGACGTGCCCCAGGGGCAACTCGCCCTGCTGCAGCACCTCCTCGACACAAGCCCGGGTTGGCACACGAGCCGCTTCCGCCGTGTCCACCGGCCTCAACCCCAGACTGATTGCCAAAGGAGTCATAGCCCATTCTCGGAGAGACCTGGGGTCCAAGTCAAGCCAATGATCCCTGTGGCCGGTACAGCTAGGGGATGGCGAACGCGGCACATACAGTTTGGCATGACCAACACGCACCGCCCACCATGAAGCCGCTGTAGCGATCGCAAAGCAAAGTTCTGCTGTGTACTCGGACTCCTCAGCTGATGGGTAGTGCCGTTGGCCGTCTTGGATCCATGGCTCCCATTCTTGTGGGTCATGAAAGTGGTTGCAGTCAGCCCTGGGCCATTGTGCGATTTCTGCAATGTTGTGCCTAAGGCGTTGCAACTTCGCCCTGGCACCTCCAAAGCAACATGCTGAGTACCGCTGGTCTGACCATCGACCACTATCCCACATGCTAACTTCATCCGGCGTCCACCAATGAAGGCTGTTGTATGGGTTCTCCCGGACAGAGCCACCCCCCCGATCTACCAACTGGTCAATCTCAGAGAGCACAAAGCTGGCAGCTGCGTTGTCCTTCTCCACCCTGCTGTACTGAGACCCTGTCAACTCAGGAAGCCCCAGCGGGTGTTGTTCCGATCGCAACGGTCGGGGTGGTGGCCTACCATCTCCAAAATCTCGGGGAATCTCTCTGGCCCGGCTCTTTGTAGAACAATCCAGGGCGGCTGCAATGAAACAAACCGATTGTAACTGATCATGCAGTGATTGCTGCCTCAGGCTGTTGGATAGGTCGTGACCCCGGTCAAGCATCCAGTCCACTGAGATAGTCTCCCAACCACAGAAGATGAACGCTTTTGACAGGGGTACGTTGGGCCCCGCATAAAGATCTGCCATCCGCGGCAGCTGACAGTCAACTCTGTCTACGGGTGTTGCCTCTTCCTGCCCGGCAGAAGTCCCCGCCTCCTCTGCTGGGCACCGTCATGGCGATACCTTGGCCCTGCACTGGCCAGCACCATGCCCCGGCATACCACAGACTCGCTCCCCCCGGACAACCGCACCACACTTGTGCTGTCCTTGAGGACAGGAGCCTTTGGGATTCTTGCACTGCCCATGTTGGAAAGCCTGGCAGATCTTCGTGCCATCCCTCATGGTCTTGGCGACCTTCTTCCCGTTCACTGCCTTCCCCAGAGTGAACTGAGAGGGCATCGGGGTC